CTATGCTGTATGCTTTGGGGATATTTTGCCTGGGCAGCAACAGTATAACCTACTACTCTTATTTTATTTCCAACTGTCAAGGGATTTTTAATGGTATAGACAACGAGACCCAATGTTTTCCATGCCATCTGTTTTTCCTTGCCAGGCTCTATTGCCTGCACCACTGATGAGGAGAAACCAAGATGGAAAATTGCCAGGAACTTTATCAACCAACACTGAGAACAAACTCAAACCTCTTGATTATTAACCAACAGCCATTTTCACTGAGCCCGCAAAATAAATAGTTTATTTCCCTGGTTCCTTGCAAGTTCAAAATCGTTTGAGCTTCTTTTTCATTGAAATTTATGTGGATGTAAAATGTTATACTAACCTCATGACACAATCAGCGCTTTGCAAGTGGAGTTAAAACACTAGTTTCTTCACATAAATTTGTGATCAGTTTCTACAGATTACAATATATAATAAAGGTATGTAAATATACATGTAAGGGAGAGTATATTATTGTTGAGAATGTTATTGTTATTAATCAACCATGAATTTTATTTATTTTCAACTTATTGATTAACATAAATAAATAAATGCATGTATTAGGAATTACTAAAATATTATTGTTGATGACTGATATTGTTATATTCAATCAATAATGTTATTAATTTATACAAAAACAGACTTTACTCTTAATTACTGCTACAGAAGAGATGCACTAGTGTATAATATTAAAACATTTAGCTGAAACTGTTATAAATATTGTTGATGAATGGCATAGTTATCATATACTGTATATAGTCTCGAGATATAAACTATAGGTTGATTTAATCATGTTATTAAAAATGTTGAATTAATATTAACTATCATTTTAATCGTCTTTTTATTTGTCCCTGGGCTAGCAAAGGCCGAATTCAGAGTTTATTTGTGAAGGGGCCACAATACTTGAACAATAAGGGCACTGGGGACTCTTGATTAAAATGTCCTGGGTTCAATCTCGCGTTGGCCAAAATCGGTCACAAGATTTTTATGTGCAGGATAAATACGATACTGCGGTTATGCTGGGGAAAGAAAGACTGAAGAAAATAACCCGAGAAAAAGAAAAACCCGAGGCCGGTAGGCCGATGTATTTCTGTCGGCTATGTTTACATGTACGTAAAGGAGAATATCCCAGAATTCCAGTAAGGAAAACCTTATATCATATTTTCTTAAGGAAAGAATAACCCGTTACAGGTTTAAAGAAAAACTTTCAGAGGAATAACCCCAAATTCCCCTGTATATATCCAAAGCCGCCCCCCGACTTTCAAACAGCAAGTTATTCCGGGCATAGAATATACCCCAAAGATCAAAGAGATTTACCGTTATAGGTTTATAAGAATGTTGTGTGGACGTATTATCCCGTCGCCCCAGTCTGTGTTTAAGTGCGTGGGTGGGAACATTAGCCTAAATACACACATTTCATTGTGGACATGGACACCATGGATAACAATGAAAAATTAATAAACATCCCCATTACGATAACTCTTGCAAAGCTCTAGCCTCTGACACATTAATCTAGGGATTTACAATCACATGCGTACAAAAATTAAACTCATGGGTGATGACGAAGACTGGCCTACGGTTGGTCCACGAACTTTCTGCATAGTACGTTGACCATTGAAATTGACACCAAACTCACTATACCTTAAAGGACAATTTGGGTGTGATCCATTATCACATATCTGATAGAACTGGATTGATCTGACCCAAGTGCTCCAGCAAAGAAGAGAAAAACGAGAAAAATTTTGAAAAGTTTAGTTTATGCATATTGAATACCAGATCTGTCCGAAATAAAACTGATGAACTGAATGAATATGTTGCTGATAATGATGTGGATTTATTTATTGCAACTGAGTCGTGGATTCGCAGTGAACACACAGTTAAATTATCATCAACCATTTAGTTCCGACCAACTTTGACTCTATATTTGAAAATAGAAAACAGTCTAAAGGAGGTGGAATTGCCTGTGCTTTCAAAAAGTACAATGTACTAAAAACTTATTTTTAACTTTTGAAATATACTATTCAAAAAAAGTAGGGGATATTTGATTTTGGGGGCATAATACTAAAATATGCAAATGACTACGAAAAAAGTCACTATAGAACCTAACAGAAGAAACATTTCCAGTTACATGTGACGCCCAAACGCACCAATAGCTACCGCATGGAATGCAGGTGATGCTTGGGATCATCATGGGGGTCCAACCCAAGATTTGCACGACTCTGACTTTGAATGTTACAGTCATTGTGGCATTGAATTCCAGGGTGGAAACATCAGTTTAATTGTTTTAGTGACCAGAAAACAAATTTTGATATGCGTCGGCTTACCCAAAATGAAAGGTTACGTGCCCTTGGCATGCTACAGATCGGCACAACACAGGCGGTTGTGGCGCGGACGATGAATGTTTCTCAGTCTGTCATAAGCAGGCTATGGTCCAGATACCGTGATACACAATCTGTACAGGACAGACCACGCTCAGGTCGACCAAGGGCGACAACTCAAGCCCAGGATCGATTTATCCGTACCTTGGCCTTGAGAAATCGTGTCATCACAGCAAATCAGATCAGCGCTCGTCTTCAAACAGACACTGGTGTGAGAGTGAGTGGCCAGACGATTCGGAATCGACTGCATAGGGGTCACCTTCGCGCCCGACGTCCTCGCGTGATCCCTTGTTTGAGAGATCATCACATTCAGGCAAGACGTCGTTGGTGTAGGGATCGTCAACACTGGGATAATCGACGCTGGAGCAATGTGATGTTTTCAGATGAGTCAAGGTTCACTGTTGATTTTTTGGACAGACGTAGGAGGGTGTGGCGTCGTCGAAACGAGCGCTTCCAAGACGTTAACGTCATCAGACATGATCGATTTGGGGGTGGTTCTGTTATGGTGTGGGGAGGCATCACTGTTGCTGGAAGAACGGCTTTACATGTTGTTGCAGGGCGTGTTACAGGCCAGTACTACCGGGACAACATCTTGGCAGTCCATGTTGTGCCGTTCGCACGACGTCATGGCCGCCGTTTCATCTTCCAGGATGACAACGCAAGATGTCACAGGGCCAGGATCGTTACAGGTTACCTCCAACAACAGAACATCACCACATTACCTTGGCCAGCACTGAGTCCCGACCTCTCCCCCATCGAGCATGTCTGGGACATGCTTGGACAGAGGTTACGTCAACGTCAACAACGTCCTGCCAATGTCCAAGAACTTGCTGCTGCGTTGCAACAGGAATGGGACAATCTGGACCAAAATGACCTTAGACGTCTCATTAGGAGTATGCCACGTCGGATCAATGCTTGTTTGGCAAACAGAGGAGGATTTACCCGTTACTGACTTGGTTGTGATGCTGTGGTAACTTTGCTGTTTGACCCCGGGTATCATTTTACCCTTATAATGGTCAGTCTGTGCCTTACTTAGTCTAACGATCATTTGGAATAAATCGATGAATGTGAACTTCATTTCATTTTGTCATTTGTTTCTTCGTCAGTTTCATTAGGTGACTTTAATAACACTTAAAAATCAAATATCCCCTACTTTTTTTGAATAGTATACTACAATAAAACGTACTCCTTGGCAAGAATCACGTAAAAATTGTGTCAGTATATCGCCCTCCATCAACACGTGTTGTTGATTTCCTGGCAGAATTTACTGAACTACTCAATAGTTTGAATACTGGACCTGGATATTTAATAATTCTTGGAGATTTCAATCTTCATGTTGATAAAGCCAATGATTCGAACATAAGATATTTTTACTATTGTTAGAGTCATTTAGTTTAAAACAGCATGTGGATGTGTCAACCCATACTATATTTGTCTGTGAATTTCCAGATTGGTTTTCTCCAATCTGGTTATGCCTATCATAGACATAACCACATTCTTGGTCTTGTGTTGAGAGAACATGATTCCATTATTTAATCATGTGACGTTTTTGATCCTCAGATTTCTGATCATAAGGTTAAACACAGGAAAGCCGAGAAAACATGGAGGAAACCAATCTGGAAATTCACAGACAAATTTACAATAAGTCCCGAACTACCATTTTAATCGAATTAGCTAAACGATCCTTCACTAAGGACTGTCTGTTATCAAACAAACATAATCCACGTGAAGTCTACCAAATTATAAACAGTCTGCTAAAACCAAGAGAAGCAAAGTGTCTGCCATCGGTTTAAAATGATACTAGCCTATCAGATCATTTTTTTAAAAATATTTCCACGACAAAGTCTCCACCATTCGACAAGGAATCGGTGTAAATATACCAGCAAACATATTCATTGAGAAAAAGTTTGAAGGCTGTACAATTGAGAACTTTTGTCTAGCAACAGAAGGTGCGATACGGCAAATAATTCAGAAATCAGCCCCAAAGTCATGTTCCCTCGATCCTCTGCCAACATGGCTACTAAAGAAGTCCGAAGTGGACACGTCTTTAGTAGGTGCAGAAGTATGTGAGACGCCTAAAACAGCCTGTGACACCCTTCATTAAAAAATCAACCCTTGATCCTGATGTGCTAAAGGATTACCGACCTGTGTCGAATTTGTCTTTCATTTTGAAAATTATAGAAAAAATTGTCCTTAATCGTTTTAAATATCATTTGTGTGAAAACAATCTCCAAGAAAAATTTCAGTCGGCATACAGAAAACGGCATAGTACAGAATCTGCCTTACTTCGTGTTCACAATGATATCGTATGCAGCTTGGGTCGGAAGAAACCAGTGTCGTTAGTTTTATTTGACTTGAGTGCAGCATTCGATACGATAGATCAATTAATCCTTCTCAGGAGACTTGAAACTTGATACGGTATATCCGGTGACGCACTGAAGTGGTTTAAGTCGTATCTGAGTGGAAGACAGCAGAGTACAGGGGTCTGTATTGGATCGGTTTTGTTCACAGCATATACTGCACCAATTGGTGAAATCATCCGTGAGATGGGTCTTAATTACCACCTACCTCCATGCGGATGATACTTGACCCTTCGCCAGACATCACTACACCAGAACTTGAAGCATGTATTGAACAAATTAGAATCTGGATGCACTACAACTTTTTGAAACTGAATGATGAAAAAACCAGAAAATATAATAATCGGGAATAAAAAGAACATTGACATCAACCATGTGACTACTGGAAGCACTGCCATAACCCCATCCAACTGTGTCAGAAATCTTGGTGTGTTCTTTTGACTCTTTCCTTGATATGAAAACCCATGTATCCAGGCTGTGCAAAAGGGCAAACTTTCATCTGTATAACATTCGATCCTATATTGACCTTTATGCCACCAAAATGTTAATAACTGATTTTGTTATGTCATCTTTAGATTATTGTAATTCATTATTGTGTTCTCTTCCTAAAACTCTTGTAAATCAGCTGCAGAAAATCCAGAATAAAGCATATTGTATCACTCACCAAACCATCTGTCAATTTAAAAATTAACACAATCACTTTTAATTGTTTAAACGATTCATTGGCACCATCCTATTTATCCGATTTAATTCAACAATATGTACCTTCTTGTTCCTTAATGTTCATCTTATAAACACCAATGTCCAGTACAGAAGTCAAGAAACCCTGGCAGTCCAATATGATATAAGACTAGGTTGTAGCACCGCTGTACGGGCAAAATGCACATATTCATTAGCCCGGATGGAGCAAAGAAGGACATTAAACCCTGTTTCATTACCGAGCAAGATTTCCCTCATAGTACACTTTGCTTGGGGATTGGGGTTGGGTAGTCAAGTTGCATGGTTTCGATCTCAAGCTTGTATGTGACAAGGAGTAGGGTCACATGCCTATCTTCAGGTATTTTCTATGGGATATATGGTTTTGTCCCAATGCTATGCGCAAGTGAATTATGCAAATAAAATTGGAACATGCATTAGTCCAGAAATGACCTAATTTGTGTTGAGTGGATGTTATAATTCATTTCTCTCTCTCTCTCTCTCTCTCTCTCATTAATTTTCTTGGACAGTGCTGTTGCAGCCTACGTTTATTTCTAACTGTCAGGGTACCTGTAATTCTGACAAGGGGAAACATCTGACAATCCAACATGATTTGATTTACTTATGTCAACAAATGATTTAATCAAATTGTTAACTTTTTTTTCATCTGTAAATTTTTTTATAAATAATTTGGAACACAATCAAAACTAAACATTTGTTTGTCTTGCATGTAATTTTTGATGCTCCTGAAGACTACAATTTTGGGAAAAAGATTTGCTACATATTTCACAAATATAAGGTTTGATACGAGAATGATTTTTTATATGTCTATGTAGATTACTGTTATCAGTAAATGATTTACCACATATATCACAGACAAATGGGCTTTCTCCTGTATCACTTCGCTTGTGGATTTGAAGATGAGAATTGAAAGTAAATGATTTAATACACAAATTACATTTAAAAAGTTTTTCTCCTGTATGGAATCTCATGTGTTTTTTTAAGTCACCAGATTCATAAAATGATTTACCACAAACATCACATTTAAAATTCTTTTCACCAGAATGAGTTTTAACATGGGCTCTTAAACTAGCTTTGTGTGTGTATGATTTACTACAAAGTGAACATTTATGTATGTTCTCTCCAGTGTGACCTTTAGCATGTGCAATCAAAGTTGTTTTACGTGTAAATGATTTACGACAAGCATCACATTTAAAGGATTTTTCTGCATTATGTATTTTACCGTGTTCTTTCAGTAAATAGGACTTTCTAAATGATTTACTACAAATATCACATTTATAAGGTTTGGACCCATGTGTTCTCATATGCTCTTTTAGATGATCTTTATGAATAAATGATAAGACTACAAACATTACATTTAATAAGTTCCCATGTGTCATTGTTTTCTGGTATTTCTGTTTCTCTGTCAAGTAAAGAAGTTTTGTCCCAATCTTATTTTGTTGGATTAAATCATTCTCCTCCTCTTGTTTAAAATGTATTTCACAATGTTCTTCTAAATCAGAGTAAGATTTGAAATCTTCCTCACATAATTTACACTGATGAATAGTTTCAATATCTTCAATTGTTGCTTCTTCAAAATGTATTTCACAGTGTTTCTCTAACTCATCGCATGACTTAAAATTTTCCCTACATAAGTTGCACTGATGAACCATTTCAGTTTCATGAATAGTCTGCTCGTTTTCTTTGATTTGTACTTTACTGTGGTTTTCAACATCATCAATTTTCTCATCATCTTCGCCTTGTTTTTTAATTTGGTTTTCTAGATCATCGGTTGTTTTGTTTTTGACAGTCAGATTACTTTGTTGTTGTAAGTCACCATACCGTTTACTACATGTAGTTTCCTGTAATAAATATAGTCTTTTTTTATTATATATAATTAAAATAAAAGCTAGCTGTGCATTTGTGTTACAAGTACTTCAGATCATTTGTATTACAGTTACCGGAGATGAGAATTCAACATAATTATATTTGTTTATTCTTATTTCCAAATTTTACATATCCTACGATTTATATACTCAGCCAAATTAAAAACTTGACACTCATGATTTTTGGGACTAGATTTTTAATATTTGGTTTAAGGCAACTATTTTAGTGTTATGTTGTGCACAGACGATCTTGACATCAACAGAAAGCAAGAATACGTCTCGCCGAAATTCCTTGACATTGATAACGTTCGTGATGTCACAGTACCCCCCAAAATGAAATTCACAGACTTGGAGAACAATCAGAATAAAGTGTTTAGTAACGGTTGTGACCTCCTCTAGCGTCTCGTACTGCCACACAACGTCTTCTCATGGATCTCAGAACATTAGTAAACACTACCCGAGGAAGACGTTGCAACTGCTCAGCAAGAGCATGTTGAAGGTCCTGCAACATCAGTGGTGGATTCACTTGCTGACGAACACATCGACCCTGTTCGTCCCAGATGTGTTCAATAGGATTAAGGTCGGGGCTAAGCGACGGCCAATCCTGGACTTGGACACCGGTATTTCTTAAAAAATCCTGGGTAGCAATTGCTGTATGAGGTCGAGTATTGTCTTGTTGAAACGTTAGTCCAGGCCCATGTCTCTGCATAAACGGAAGAAGAACAGGTTGCAAAATCTAATCCCTGTACTGGACAGCGTTTAAGTTACCTTGGACAACAACAAGAGGGGAACGTCCATTTGCACAAAAAAACCCCCAAACCATGACGCTGCCGCCACTAAATCGGTCAACTTCTCTGACGCATACTTGAGCGTAACGTTCACCTCGTCTGTGGTACACTCGGGCCCTGCCATCGGCAAACCTCAAAGTGAATCGAGATTCGTCACTAAAGACAACCGAATTCCACTGTCTTTGAGTAAATCTTATGTGTCTTGTGGCCCACACAAGTCGGTTACGGCGATGAAGTGGTGTCAATATTGGTCTATTATAGGGCCTTCGAGCTCGAAGACCAGCAGCCTGCAAGCGATTTCGAACAGTTTGTGCAGTTACCCTTCCACCAAACATCTCTCTACTTGTGGAGGTTGCAGTGACAAATCTGTTATTAAGATGACGTAATCGTATTGCCTGATCTTCCTGGAGTGACGTCACACGTGGCGCTCCCGCCCTTGGGCGGTCGGTAATAGTTCCAGTTTGAAGCACTCTCATTCTAAGATTAATTATTGTCTGGCGTGAACAATTAAAGGCTCCTGCAACAGTGACCACAGACTGACCAGCATAGAGTCTACCTATAGCACGTAGACGTTCTACATTTGAAAGGCGCGGCATTTTCTAACAAAGATGAAAATAACAATTTTAATTTGTTTTTCCAGTTCAAGTTACATGCACGTGTTCAGTTTAAGCAAACTTGCATCGATTGACCTCACGAGTTTGTGTTTGCACGTGTTTTTCAGGTTTTTCATCTTTATATGCTCAAAAGTCACGTGATCCACGTGACTTTACAATTTTATGAAATTAAAGGCTTCTTACTACTTACTATCGTTAGAAACACTTTAAAATTTATTTGACTTACCAGAAAAAAAATTTTGTTGAAATTCATTAGTGTCAAGTTTTTAATTTGGCTGAGTATAGTATAGTAATGACATAGCTTCACTACTCTCCCATGTAGATCAGCGCCGGATTAACCATTGTGGGGGTCCTGGGACCTTGAGCATGTGGGGAACCTTGAGCATGTGGGGGCCCCCAATCTAACACATGTGACCAGAATGTAGGTAGTATCGTTCCACAACACATGAATGTAACTTCATCAAGCCTAATTTGAAATAAGTCAGTGATAAATAAAGGGTGCCCTTTAATCATATCCGCGAAGTAACCGACCAGAGCTGATTTTTGACAAATGATGTACACAGCTGACCCAAATTTAAATGTGTTTTGTTGGAACCAATGTAGTGTTTACGGAAATTACACATATTAAATTATTATACACACCAACATATCAAATAATTATGGTCTAAGGGCTAAACGTCGAAGAATACGAGTTCAGAAACCAATCGGAGATTACCAATGACATTTTTAACAGATTCAGAGTTTGAATCTCAAATATAAATGGGTTCAAAGTTACCTTGATTCCACCCCAAAGTAGCACAACAAGTTTTAACCAAAATATTCCCACTAAATAAAGAGGATTTTAATGTGTTTTCTTGATACACTTTTCCCGCTAAATAAACAAAAAAAAGAAACATGGATACAAGTCAAAGGTACGACGCGGCATTGCCGGATTACACTGAATTCTCGGATGTCAACTGCAACACGAGCCCACAATGGATGAAAAGCGTCCCACTGTCCAGGACTTTGAAAATCAGATGGAGGGCCTAGCAGATGTAGTCCTTGGTCCGACCATGCTCGTAACTGAGGATTTTTTGGGGGGTCCCCTGATGTTGGAGGCCCACCATGTCCCATAGATTGAAATTTCTTAGGGGTTGTTAAGTTTGGTGAGTGATGATCGCACACCAAATTTCAACCGATTCGATCAATAACGAAATTGATATAGAGCGAAGCTCTAAAGCACCGCGCGTAATTGAAAATGTCACCCACAGACTGTTGATTAAAAAAAAATCCAGCCGGAACCGGATACACTGGGCAAAACAGGCAATGCGCATGTCAACTTACCAAATCTCGTCCAAGCGAGATCACGTAACTAACAAAAATAATTCTATCCACCAAATCTCGCCCAAGCGAGATTACGCGCCTCATAGAACTATTTCTATGACGCGTCTAATCAATGACGTCACATATTTTTTACGTCAATGAAAATAATTCTCACACTTTTTTGTTCTTTTTTTAAAAACAAAATTAATGTATAAAATTTAGATCTCAATAAAAACTAAATTATTTAATATTTTTGTATCACTTGAGAAAATTAACTATGAATGAAGGTTTTATATTTGACAATAATCAGCTTCGCTCTACTCAGGCAATGCCTGTTACATATTAATCGTGCAATTGAATTATCAACTGTTGCTGATTTGGTGCAATATTAGCTGAGGGGGTCACCCCTAAACCCATTCTTCTGCCTTCCTTGGCCACCGTGGGCGGTGGATGGGTATTCACGAGTAGAGCTAGAGGTAGTACAGGCCTATTTTTACTTCACCTTTCTAAATTTTACATTTGACATTTGTATATTTTTTTTAATCTCTGACCGTTTCCGGTGTATTGTATATTTGTTGTATATTTGAATTCGAGTTGGATCAATACAACGCGAGTAGTTCCTTACCAATTGTTCGAATCTCTTTGAACACAAAGTGGTCTGTTCTAACTTTTTGCTCGGCCGCCAGAGGAGGGACGATGACTTAAATATGAGTTTTCTTGTAGATATAAGTATCGATCGGTGTTATCCCGAAGTATCACGCCTGATCCCGGTCAACGAGTCCAACTGTTCAAGTGTAACTGAACGTAACTAACCACTTATCTGCTGATTTGGTAACAGTATCTATGTAAAGGGAACCCCCACCCCCTCACCCTACACAAATATCCTTTAAATATTAAATACAACCGCACAAAATATGATTTTATAAGCGAAATGAGAGCGCTTGAAAACAAAATGTGAATTACTCGCGTTGGTATGATCGCTGTGAAAAGCTAAGGTACAACTAGAGTACCATTCTCCACACAGGGTACGTTCGATAACAGGCGCCGGGCTTACTAGAGCCCTCACGGGTGCGTTCGGGTTGCCCATGACGCCATTTAAACGGCTTACTCGCGTCAGGCCGAAGTAACCGGCTCCTTGGGGCAGGTTACTTCGGGAAGTGTCTCATAATCCAATTATTCAACATGGCAGCAAATCAATTTTTGATCGAAGTTATATATTCAGATTAAGTTTAGGCGACGGAAGAATTATTGTTGACACTTTGCTCCGATTAAAAATGTAGTATTTCCATTCCACAGTAGTGTTGTGTTTATTTTAGTGCAACGATTCCAGGAGTTAGAAAAGGAGACTCAGCGTCCTTTCAGTTGCCTAAAAGCAGAACTAAGCCGTTTATTAAATCTTTTTTGATTACTGGTCAATTTTCCAAAATCATTGTGTGGAGTCATAGGCCATGTATGTACACGTATTTGTAATTATAGATGATAGATAATTATAAATGCGTGTACATATTGTAAAGCTGTCTCTACTGGTGTATTCCCACGAAGGCGCAGTTAAAGAGCGTGACCAAAATTAATCATTCCCACGAAGGCGCAGATATCGACTTGTTGGCTTTCGTTTGAAGGGAGGCATGTTGCTATTAGGACCCAATTAACGGTGTTAAAGATTTTATGAATTTATTTTCACTCTGAACCAACAACACTCTGGAAGGATGGCATGCAAGAATCAAGAAGCGAGTTAGAAAAGCCCATCCGAATGTTTTTGAAATGATCACATTATTACAACAAGAACAAAATATTAACCACCAAGGAAGAGATATAAATATGCTCAAATCCAAAGCCAGCTCCAGGAATTAAAAGGAAGACACGAGGAAGACAGGGTGTTTTATTTGGCGAAATTAAATTAATATTTGTTATAGTATAGTTATGTTTTCATTTCTTATGCCCAAAATGATGCTAAAATGTTGGTTAATTAGTTACATTGTGGATTATGAAAGGGTAAATTCTTATCATAACAATCTATAACACCATTGTTACGACCTCGTTTAATCCGTTACGGTCAATAACTGCGCCTTCGTGGGAATAAACCTCTCTACTGTATGTTAAATGTTTGTTTTGCCATCACATATTATATAATATTATATTATTCTATTCCCTGGGAGAAGGTTCGTAATTTTTATAAATTGTCCTAATCCCTTTGTAAATTATTTGCAATAAAATATGTTTAAACCACAAGCCATGGCTGGAGAGGGCAGGCTGGGTCCCCAAGTAGGAATTCTCCTTCCTGGAATTTGGTATCTGGTTAGAGGAAAATACAATTCTTCAAAACCCTCACGTCATGTGTACACCCAGGCCAGCCGGTGTAAACATGAGTAAAGCGAACTACGATGATCACATACAGTCTGGAGTACGACCGAATGAAAATTTTTGCGGTTGATATATCATTTTCGATTGCCCTTCATCTTGGGCGTCTTAAATCGGATATGACAGCCACCGATAGCCCCGACTGTTCCGGGAAATTTACAATATTTAGCAAAACAGTCAGAAATTTCTTGACGTTCGTGGGGTAATGACCATTAAATAGGTGTTTTCATTAGAAACTCTGTGGCAAATACAGAGCGTTGTTGATTTAGATATTCCAAATCTATCGGATAGTGAGCGAAATGGATCTGGGGTAGCAATATGCCACAGAAACACCATTGCTTGTTTTGGAATTGTAACTGGTGTAGGACCATAGCCTTGTTCTCCTAACTGCAATTCTGATAAGCCATGGAGCTCATTAAAAAAGTTATCAAACGTTACACTGGTTAAAGGGACTATCCCGATTTCAAGAGAGTCTCAAAAATAAAAGTCAGAGTACGTATGAAATTTAAGCGCCAAAATATAGAGGAATGTTGTATTTACCTTCTCTCAAAATTCCAGCTCAAAATATTGAGTCGTTTGGACGTGAACGTCAATACTGCTTATCCGGATATGTAACCCTTTTAAGATTTCGGGTCAGTTTTTTCGTTGGGTGACCTGTTAATCGATTCCCATTCCTTGAGAGGTCTATATAGTGAATGACCCATGTGCTGTACTTGATAACGAAAGGTAAATTTCAACTACACATTATTTTTTATAAAATAAAAGTCTGGTTTTATCCAGATACCGCATAATACAGCTTGGGAAACCGGTCTTCACTTCCAGATAAAGACTGACGGGTTTAAGTTTTTTGAAAACGTATCACAGATATTGAGTTAGTTGCTCGGCCCTTGGCTAGAGGATTTTAACACAAAATTAAGCAGTTTTATTCTCCAAAAAATATCTGGATTAGCCCTTATAACTGAAGTGTGATTTAAAGTCTTTTAAGGATTGTAGAGGGATCTAAGTATTGTAGAGGGACTGTATGGTCTGCATAATATTCTATCCTTGGAACTTTATTAAAGTTTGTTGGTGGATTATTGTCTGCTCGTCGTTATTTAACAGAACATCGAGCATGAGTGTTTGGCGGCGTTTATCTTCCGTTTTGAGAACTAAAGAAAGCGCTGCGGCGTTCGATTACCCATTCCCACTGGGCATGTCAAAACGTACTCGAGAATCCTAGTCGAGTAAGCCCGGAACAAGTAATCGAACGCGATAAGAGAGAGAGAGAGAAATGGGGTTTAACGTCCACTCGACACAAACTAGGTCATTTCGGGACTAACGTATGGTTTAATTTTTTATTTACATAATTCGCTTGCGCGTAGGGATCTTTAGCAGTGGGAGGAAACCGGAGGACCCGGAGAAAACCCACGAGGTTGGACAGGCGACCCTACTCCTTGCCACGTACAACCGGGGATTCGAAACCACGCCAGTCGACTCAATGACAGACTTTATGATACAGCGCGCGCACGCTAACCATTCAGCCATCCACCCCCCCCCCCCCCCGAACGCGATAACAAGTCTAGCTATCCAGCTGTTCGCGAAATCATTTTAGAAAAACGCTTTTGTGATAACGCTATTCCACGGTTTTGGCGAAATGGCTTATCTTTTATTTTATTTTTTGACAGAAAAAAAGGGGGATCATGGACCAGGTCATGGGCTGAATAGTCACGACCTTAGATCACACCTTTCAGTGTCAAAAGGTAAAAAGAAAATCCAGCATGAGTAAGTTAGTACTATTCGTATCCCGAATTTTCGGATGACTGTCAGAGATGTGGATCGAGTGTCCAGTTGGCGGGCTAAATCTATTTGTTAAGGCCAGCTTAATTTTTGTCAAGGTCGCTGAGATGTAAACAAGGTTAGGGCACGTGATTGCTGACGAGACTGTAGGTTAGACATAGGGTAAGTATTGGTGCTAGGTTCAGGGTTAGGGATAGGGTTGGAATTAGCGCTAGCCCTGTTTACATCTCGTGACCTATGACGAAAAACTGAGCTGGCCTTATCATTTAGCACTAACCCAGTTGGCGTGAGACTGGCAGCTTTTCCCCTGTAAAAAAATTGCCCGAAATACCACGAATTTTTAATCTGAAGCCACTCTGCATGGGCCGATAGTTTTTGGACATTGATCATTTTATTTGTTTCATCAAATTTTCGGGCAGATTATTTCGGAAAGGCGGGAAGTAAATTCATATATTTTTTTGGGAAAAAAACCTTTTTGCCTTCTAGTCGGCAAAATAAAGTGCCAAAATACCATAACTTCGTAGTCTGGGGCTAATCTGCATTATGCGACAGTATTCGGGCATCGGTCATTATTTGTCATCAATTTTTCGGTAATCGTAATTTCTTTTAAATTAACTAAAACATTTAAAATTAGTTTAATAAACAGTATCTAGTTCCACTCTATAGTAGTCACAGTGCTCTAAGCGCAACCTGTTTTTCGGACATCTTCATTTGATTCATTGGTGAAATTTCCGGTGTCGTGTGATTAATTGGTTGATTGGGA